ATTTTATATTCCCACTGGCAGTGTAACAGGGTTCTTATTTCTCCAAATCCTTGACAATTCTTGTTATTATTGCCCCCCCCTTTTTTTTATAGTCATCCTCAAGATTGTAAGGTGGTATCTCATGGTGGCTTTGACTTGCACTTCCCTGATGGTAGTGATTTGAGTGTGTGTGTCTTATCTATGAACTCTTGCCATTTGGGACAACTAGAATGGAATTGGATCATGCTAAGAAAATTAAGCCAAGAGGAGAAAAACAAATAGCAGATAATTTTACTCATGTAGAATATAAAGAAACAAAACAAAGGGGCAGATAAAACCGAACCAAAACAAACTAGAAATCTGCTCTAGAATTGAGGGCCCCTGAGGGGGAGGATATAGAAAGGCAAAGGGGGGAGGGGGCCCCACGGACTCTGGTGGAAGGCTCCGGGTGCCCTGGGTTGAAGGTGGTGTGGTAAAATACATCTGAGGAGGTGTGACCTGAACATCTGAATCATAGAGAGTGTTGTCAGCCAACACTCAATTAAAAAACTATAAAATATATAAATAAACAAAAGTCTAGAACTTTAGACTATAAAAAAAATCACGCATGAGGAATTTGGTGTTAATTCTTCTTTAAACATTTGGTAGAATTAATCAGTGAAACTCTGGTTCTGGGCTTTTCTTCGAGGGCAGTTTTTTGCTTATTAATTCAATTCCTTTACTTGTTGCCGCTCCACTTGGATTGTCTTCTCCTTGAATCAGTTTGTCTCTCTGTGTTTGCAGTGTATGGCTTTCTAGGAATTTGTCAGTTTCGTCTAAGAAATCTCATGTGTCAGCATAGCTTTATGCTATTGTTTCACCACTTCTCCTCTCTCTGTGTGGACTTTCTATTCTATGGACTGCTATTCTGGTCTTTATTATTCTTTCCCTTCTGCTAGCTTCAGGTTTGGTTTATCCTCACTTTCCAGATTCTGAGGGTGAAAGTTTAGGTTATTGAGCTTAATCTCTCTCTCATGCAAGTTAGAGCTATATGTTTTTCTCTACTTGAGCTGCATCCCGCAAGTTTTGGATGCTGTTTCATTTTCATTTATCTCACACATGAGTTCCCCATTGAGATAGCAATTTTACATTGTCAAATGTAAATATACACAATTACACACATACCACTATGACAGGGCAGGGAGAGGGGGCAGCCCTGAACCCCAAACCTGCCCACTCTGACTAGGTTCTTCCATCTGCTACATCAAGATAAAACATTTAAGACCTTCCATGGAAAGGAACTTGAACACAATGAGTGTGCAATAGAGAAAAGACGAAAAACATAGTTTCTAAACCCCACATTCAAAGTCACCCATCCCTTGTAGGTAAAAGTCCACCCAAATGTGACTGGCCCAAAGCAAGGCCTGAAAGCTGTCACAAGCCTAAAGCACCTTCTGGCGAGGCCCAGAGAAAAGGGTCAGAAATGGCCAGACCAATCTGGGAGGAAAAGAGCAACATCAAAATCAAAACAGATGCTGCCACAGTCACCTCCTCACGGGTCTCTCTCCCAGGTATGTTTCACCAGTCCAGTACCAAGGAACAAGGGCTGCTTCCTCATGTGTCTCTCCTCCATGTGGCTCCCTCAGGGCTCCTTCTAGCTCACCATCCTGCTTCCTTCCTCTTCAGTCTCTTCTCCAGATTCTTCTCCTCCCTGCTCAGCTCCACCCTCCTTTGGGTGGGGCAGGGAACTGAGAACTTTCCCTTTTCCTGGGGACCACCCTGTTAAACACTATAACTATGGCACCAAGTTGGAACCAAGTTGGAACAAATTAATATTTTCTTTTTTTTTTTTTTAAAGATTTATTTATTTGTGCATACAGAACTGGGGTACAGGCCAGAGGCTCAGGGGCGGCGAGAGGCTTCACCAGAGACAGAGTGGGGAGCAGAACAGGCAGATCAACGAAGTACACTGCTGAGGGGAGCAGCGGGCGGGTCAGGAGAGGTCTGCTGCGCCATGTGGTCACCTCCGGGGTGGGGATCGAACTCATGCTGAAGTGGCTTTAGCCTCTTACTGCTGTGCTCCAACTCACTGCGCCACCAGGGAGGGCCCAAATTCCTCTTTTCAAAACAATGTTGAAGCACAACAGACTGTACAGAGTGCTAACAGGCAGCTAACATCACATGCTGACACTTGACCCCTTGCTTCCCCACCCACTCGGTCAGCATGCCCGCCAAAATGCGCTCAGACCCACCCACTCACCTCCACCTCCACTGCCAGATACCCACTCCAAGCCACTGGACTTTTGGTTCAGGACAACTGTGGCAAATTCCAAGTCCTTTCTATGGCTTTCTATCCTTTACAATCTGTTCTCCATGAAGGGAGTCACCTGGGCTTTTAAAATCACAAATTGAAAAAAATAAAACCACGAATTGGGTTACTTCTCCCACTGCCCCCCCCAAACCCTTTAGTTATTTCTCAATCTGATAAAAGCCTTTTTTTTTTTAAAGATTTATTTATTTGTACATACAGAACTAGGGTACAGGCCAGAGGCTCAGGGGCGGTGAGAGGCTTCACCAGAGACAGAGTGGGGAGCAGAACAGGCAGATCAACGAAGTACACTGCTGAGGGGAGCAGCGGGTGGGCCAGGAGAGGTCTGCCGCGCCATGTGGTCACCTCCGGGGCAGGTGGGGATCGAACTCATGCAGAAGTGGCTTTAGCTTCTCAGTGCAGTGCTTTAGCCCGCTACACCACCAGGGAGGGCCTGATAAAAGCCTTTTTCCATGGCCTATGAAACCCCAAATGAAATGACCCCCTCCATTCTGTGACCCCCAGCTATTCAGCCCCTCACCATTTGTATAGCTCCAGCCTCACCCAAGGATCTGCTTTCTCTTCCTTCAATGCCAGTTTCCATCTTGGAGACTTTGAATTCCTGAGCTTTTCTTCTTTTCTTTCTCATCATTCCAACTTTAGCTTAGATGTGACCTGAGGCCTAGGGTGATCAACTCTTCCTCCTTTGTCAAGAATTTCCTAGTTTTAGCACTGAATGTTGTGGGTCCTGGAAAATCCCAGAGTTTCAGGACAGCCAGGTTGGTCAGTGACCCTTGAGAGGCCATCCCTGGCTGCTGTATCTGAACTAAGTCCTACCTCAAGCTATTACCACATCTCTAATCCTGTACATGTGCAATTGTGTCCTGGCAAGTAGTGGGCACATAATAAATACTTTGGACTAAATAACTGATTCTGTCAGGCCTAAGCTTAAGATTGTGTCACATGAAGATCTGCAGTGTTGTGGTAGAATCAGGTTAACAAGTCACCGTCAATGTTTTAATGAAAATGAGAAAGAATGGGAAAAAAGCAGAGCGGATTGTCCCAAGTATCATCATACCATGAACATTTTTTTTATTATTATATATGTATTTGTGTGGACTGGACCTTGGAGTAAAATGTATTTCCTGCTCTGTGTTGTGGTAAAAACTATTTGAAAAACACAACCTGCCCCCAGTGGCTCAGCTAAGGCTGTAGGATTTGGGCAGATTGCTAGGGTTTGAAGCCCTTACAAGTGTTTGAGGCAAATTCATTCCTCTGATCCATAAAGTGGGGATCATGCATGGAACCCTTCTCATGATGTGCTTGTGAGATTTAACTAAGTTAGCATGTGAAAAATACTGCAGTGACTTTTTGGGCACATAAGAATAATTTAGTTAATATGATTACTTGTTGAATCAATGAAGAAGTGAATGGAACTGAGATCTAATCTTCCTTTAAATTGTTCTGCCTGCCTTTTCCTAAACAAGCCTTTTCTTCTAGTGTTCTATAACAATGCTTACTTATTGATTCTGATTATGGTCATTATCCCTCTCACATGACCAAGGGGCACTCACGGACACCAAAACGTTTAGAGGTGCATACTCTACGGGTTCTAGTCATCCATTTGCAGAAAGACAAAGAAAGCATACTCTTATTGAGAAACACCTTTAATGAGTTAGTATGAACAGAGATACAAAAATATATTCGATAGCAGATGCAGTGTTTTTGCCAAGGACAACCTCCCAAGTTATCTCTCATTTAAGTGCCTTTCCCAGGTGTCTCTAGGTATCTCTCTTCATGTGTCTCCTTCCAAGTGCCCCTAAGTCGGTGGGTGCAAGCCCAAGTGACAGAAGCAAGAGCCCCCCTGCCTTCTGTGTTATATAGTTTCACTGTATGTAGTGAAGCCACTCAGCTCTGCCCCAAGTTCCCGAGTTGCTCCATTCAGGAAGCCAGGTTCACAGCATAATGGCACCTGCAATCCAAGATGGCTGCGTGTAAATCGGTGTGTGGGAAATGGTACCTCCCTTTTCTGGAGGTGTATCTATAACAAAGGCTCTATGGAGGCCCTGTATTTGTTTTATTTATAGCTGGGGGGTAGGGGAGGGAGAGGGTACTGGACAGGGAAATGGGAAGGTTGCTGTCAAGGAAAATGGCTGTAAACAACTCTAGGAAGGGCTACATAGTATATTTTAGGCTTTGCTGTGACAGTTCATTTTTTTATGCAACTACTCAGTCCTTGTAGCTAGGCTGTGTTCCAATAAAACTTTATTTACAAGCACATGCAGGTAGGAATACGGTCCATAGGCCAGTTTGCTGATACTTAAAACTGCTTTAGTTTACTTATGGTACAAAAGAGTTCTCTTTTGTCTTTTTAAAAACCATTAAATACTTCTAAAATTCTCAGCTTGAGGGCCATGAGAAAGAGGCAGTGGCCCGGAGTTGCCCACGGTCCTAGTTTGCTGATCAAGAACACAGTCTGCGCCAGCTGTCCGAGGATCACCTACGGACTAAACGAGTGCCCCCGATGCCCACGACTCGGCGTTTTCGCATCCAAGGCACCCGCCCCAGTGCCGCGCGCCTCCCACCCGCCAACCCGCCGAGCAGCGCGCGCCAGAGCAAAGCCTGCCTCTCTTTCGCTGTGATTGGCCAGGGAACGCCCCTCTTTGACAGGCATCGCTGGCAATCAATTGGACGCCGCAGGGCCCGGAGCCCCGCCCCTTCGCGCCCGTTGGAGGCGGGCGTGGGCGGGCCGTTGAGGAGGTGGGGCGTGGAGCCTGGTAACCGTTGCCGATAACAACGCCCCGCCCTGTCGCTGCGGGCGGGCGAGCCGGCGGGCGGCGCGAGGCTGGCGGCGGGAGCCGGAGGAGGAGCGGCCGCCGCCGCCACCGCCGCCGCCATAGAGACTGTAGCCGTGGAGACTGTTACTTACCAACGGGGAGCAACACGCAGCAGCCGCCGCCGCCGCCGCGGGAGCCGCTGCCCGAACTCCCGGCCCGAACTCCAGGTGACCGATGGGACCGACCCGGGCCCGGCCCGACCGGGGAGTGAGGGGGGCGGCAGGGACCCCGATCTGGGGGTCAGGGGCCGTCAGCGCAGCCCCAGCCGTTCACCACAAACGTCCGGGATGGTGCGCCCGTGGGACCCGCCTTCGTATTCCCAGTCCCGCAGTCGCAGCTGAGTTTGGGGGGCGCCCGGGGCACCTTTCCCTCCTTTCGACCAAATTCAGGGGAATTGACTCACTTTTTTACAAACTTCCTGAATTACGGGTGCCAGGGGATCCCCGTGTCATTTATCCTCAAATTCCCTGAATTGGGGGCCCCCAAGAAACCCATCTAAAACTTTTTCCCTCCTAACTTCCTGACTTGGGGACTTATTAACACTTTTATTCTTCAAATCCTTAAGTTGAGGACGCTCGGAAGCCCTCATTCTCCCTCAAGCTCCCGGGAATGTCCCCGGGACCCCCTCTCAAACTCTGTATTGGGGGGCCCGGGAACCTTTTCTAACCCTTTTACTATCGAAATCTCTGCATTTGGGGCACCCCGAGGAGCCCTCTCTTAAACTCCAGAATTGGGAGGGCCCGGAAGACTCCTCTCACCTTTACCCCAAATTCCTGATCTTGGGGTGACTGGGGACACTTTTCTTGACTCCCAAACGTACTGAATTTGAGGGCGCCCCTGAACCCCTTTCTCTTTAACTAAAAGTCGCGTGCGCCTGCCTTGGGAAGAACCCCGTCCTCCCACGTTTTCACTACAAACTTCGCCAGAACCAGGCTTCTCAGACCAGTTTCTCACCTTTTCGCTCGAAATCCTCGCGTTTATGGCTCCTCGGACACTCCCCCTATCCTTTTCAACCGCGCGTTCCGGAGCTGGGGGGGATCCTGGGTCTGCCAGCCCTCCCCCCCCCCCCGGAAGCCCCTTCTCACACCCTCACTCCCTATTTGGACTGATCGCGAAGGGAGGAAAGTCGAACCAAAGGTGTTTTTGTTTAATTTACTATTTTGTTAAATGACCCAAACTGCTGGGTGGCATTTTCTCCCGAAGTTAAGCGAGAGCGTGAATGTATTTGTGAATTTAAACCCCACCCCTTACCCTCCCTACCCCCCCCCCTTTATTTCTTTCATTTTCACTCTAGGAGAAACCAAGACTCTCCCTCCCCAGGCTCCGTCCTTATTGGTTTTTCTCTCCGCTGCGCTAGGAACGTCGTTTCCAGATCCTAGTGGCTATTTAAGGGGCCCCGGCCGAACTGCCCGGGCCATTCCAGCGGCGGGGGTGGTTCATCGTCCTAATTTTAACCTCCGGGTTGCCCCACAGGAATGAAGAAGGGCAGGCAGGATGCAGAGCCAGTCCAAGGCTGCCCTTTCCCTGGTCTCATTCCTGCATCTTGGTGTTCTGACAGTTCACCACACCGCCCCCCCCCCACTTATTTTCATGCTTGTGCAATAAACTGTCAATGCAGACTTCCATGAGTTAAATCCAAATTATCAAACTTAATCAAGATTCAGTGAAGACTTCCCTAACAAAGTAACATAATAATATGAATAGCAACAAAAAACTTTTTTTCCCCCTGCTTGCACATATATTGTCAACATGTTTTGATCTTTTTGCTTCATGCTCTGAATCATCATTCTTTGCTTATATGAAGACCCTTACCTCTGTCCTGGGGAGTCCTGGATTATCTGTTCTTTCTAGAGCTCAAGTTTTAAGACTTGAACTTAAACTCTAAAATAACCTAAGCAATAGCTACTCACCTTTTCCTACCAGAGTGTATGATACACTCCTCAGGAAAGGAATTTAATTTCTTCAATCACCAGCACTCCTTCACCTTGAAAGGTTTTGCAAAACACTGGGACAAAAAAATCCCATAATAATATAGGGAAAAGATAGGTGGAACAAGTTGAGAAAAAGCAATATTGAATTATTTGGCTCTTTGGTGACTTATTTTTCCCCAATTAACCCTCCCCCCAGAGGAATCTGGGAGTAGGGGGACAGTTATTAATTACCCCAAGAAACAAAATAAGTAAAATGAGCCTTGGAAATTCACTTGGTATTTGCTTTCTGGCTACAGAACACGTATTACTTTACTATGAGTTCATAGTGTTGATACTGGCTTTTGAACAACATTTTCACTGAAGCACCACAGGGATGGAGTGACGGACTGAGATGCAGGTGCTGGGAAGATGTCTGTCTGCATCTCACTCCTTGGGTCTAATTTTTGATTTCAGAGTTTAGGTTCTACTTAATTAATTTAACTTTAATTAAAACAATGCAGTTACAGTTTTGAGTGTACTTGTGGGACTTTTATAGTACTTGAGATTATTTTGCTTATAAAATTCCAGGGCCGCAAGGAACCAGATCTCATAACACATTTGACTTTTTTTCCATTAACTGCAGGTTGGGCTTTTCTTTAAATAGCTTGCTCCCTCCTGTACACACCTACTTATTTGTAAAATAGGAAACTTTTTTAGAAGCAGGGGAAGTTCTCGGAGAAACCGTGGCACTTGTTGGGCCCCTTCCTGGGTGAGGGGGCAAGAGGAGCATAGTTCTGGCCCAGGGTCTAAAACCCCCAGTCCGGTCTCACCCTGTAAATATATTGATATTTCTGAGTGAACTGAATGAGTATTCACAGTAGGTGGGGTACCTAAAGCTATAGGCAAGGTCTGGCCTTTTCGCTGAATGAGTCTGTGCCCAATTTATATACACTATGCTTCCAGTTTTCAGGTCTTTAGGGTTTGTCATAATGGGTTGTGTCTAAAGAAGGACACTTGGATTGCCTTCTAGAATTTGAGTGGCCATTAGCTCCGGCACTGGCTATGTTCTCTTAGACCTGTGCCTGGCACACAGTGTGTGCACTTAACATGTCAGATCAATGAATGAGATATATATTGGGAGTTAGAAAACTGAAAATCACCAGCATGCTTCTAAGAACCCCAAGATGGACAAAGGAATTCCTATAGAGAAAAAGGGGGAACCAGAATCAAGGGGTGTGGTGGGGAACTGGATAAGGCCAGGGGATGGAACTTGGGAACAAGAGCCAGGAAGAACCCACCTGGGAATTTGTATTTGGAAGATCCCTCTAAGAAAGGTGAGGAGATAGTGAGGTATTCCTACCAGAAGAGTCTGCCAGCTGCCTCTGGGCACATCCAGGTGCATCCTCCCTGACAGCTTTATGTTCAAGTGGGGGGTGGTCAAGCTAAGCTTGCAGTAATCCCCCAGACCTGCTTTCCTAGGCTCCACCCTTCCTTAGGAAATACACACTGGTCTTTCCCTGGCTGCTCAAGTTAAAGTGTAGGAATTAACCTGTTTCCTCCTTTCTTTCAAGTCATTGGCAAATCCTGATGAGCCATCTTTGATAGAGACCTAGAGTCTGACTATTCCTAGGCACCTCCCCACCAGCCCCTGGTCCATCGGCGCCTCTTCCTTTTAACCCGGGGTGCCACATTTTGTCTGGTTGTGGATTCCTTAGCCCAGAACAGTCCCGTGACTCCTGTCTTACGTAGAGCAAAAGCCAAAAGCCTTGCCCCATTCCAAGCTCTCCAACCCGGTACCTCTTTGATACTCATCACCCCCCATCATTCTGGCCTCAAACCCCACTGTCTGAAAAATCTTGGTCCAGGCACTTGGGTGTCTCTTCACTGCTTTAGGCCTTTTTCATACATCACCTCTCCAGGCTACTCACTCTTAGCCTCCTCTCCTGTTTTCTTTGTCTCCTTAACATTTACCACAACTTAGCACACTTGCTGTTTGTATTTGAATTATAGTCTCTGTCCCCTCTTTGTTGTCAGCTCATAAGGGAAGGGAGGGAGCTCTGTGTCTTTTATTAACTTCTGTATCCCTGGAGCTGAAAATAATTCTGGCACTGAGTAGACACTCGATAAATATTTGTTAAAGGAATAAATAAATGATTTCCTGCACAGCATTGCAATATGTAGAAATGAAGAGTTGTTCCATTTCTGCCACATATTTGCCACCCATGTGACTCAGAACAACTCCAGTGGGATGAATGGAGGCAGGGGGAGGGAAGAGGGAAATTTCAGACCCTAGTGTTGGATGCTGTAAATACGGGCTTTGGCATTCAAGTGTGATAACTCAATTAACTGAGTGACTCCAAGGAAGGGTTGGCGTCTGTGAAATAGATAATAATATCTGGCATGGTTTGTGTATGAAAAATAATTTCTATAAACCATTTAGCACAGGGCCTGGCAAATAATAGGTACCCCAGAAAGAGTAGCTATTTATTATTACTGTCAATATCACTAAGAAGCAACAAAACAGAAGTGACTTGGGACTCTTGTTATTTTGGCTTTCTGACTGGTCCCAAATGCTAGAGACTTTCAATAAATGTGTCTTGCATGATTGAGTGGGTGAGTCCTACCCTGCTTGTTCTGATGCCCTTTAAATAGTGTAGAAATTCACTGGTCCAAATATGTTACCTTCAAGCAGAAGGGCTCCAAAAAAATAAAAACAGAAACAGAAGCAACTGAATGCCCTACATCTTGGTTGTGGTTTATTTTTTTAAGAAGATTTATTTATTTATGCATACAAGAGCTGGGGTGCAGGCCAGAGGGGGTGAAAGGAAAGGATTCACCAGAGACAGAGCGGAGAGCAGAACAGGCAGATTAACTGAAATCCACTGCTGAGGGGAGCAGCGGGGAGACAGGAGAGGTCTGCTTCACCCTGTGGATTAGCTCCTTGGCTGGGGATTGTGCTGTAGTGGCTGCAGATAGCTTGACAGTGCTGAGACTTAACCCCTTGCACCACCAGGGAGGCTCTTGGTTGTGGTTTAGATCCCTCTGAAATTAGTCACCCCAAATCACCCTTTCCGATGGGCAGGAAGAATTTAGAGATGAAAACCTGTTTTCCTCCCTGTTGTCACTGGTTCGGAGGTGCCAACACAGTCGAGGCACCAGGAGTTGAAAGCTGACTCTGTCTTCCTCACCAGAACTCAGGTGAGGCCACACAGCCAGCTGCCGGCCTGCTCCTGGCTGCATCTCACGTCTTTCTCCCG